TCCCAGCGCCCTGTCCACCGAGCCAGCTCCACTCCACCCTCTTCAAAACCCAGCGCAGCCTGCGACGCTCCCGACCAGATGGGACAGGGCCCCGCACGCCCGGCCTCTAATGCAGCGGAACGAGCCGTCTGCCAGGTTACGCGGCCCGTCTCCCTCCAGCCGGGCTTTCAAGGGCAGCGGAGGAGAGAGAACAAAGGTGATGCAGAGACCGGGCTGCGGGGCTGGCGCGAGCGCAGACACGAAGTGACAGGGGAACAAAGCCTGCGAGTGCAGCCCAAGGACTGTCTGACCGTTGGGTTTAACTCCTTCGCAACTCCGGGGAAGTCTTCTGTCCAGCGGACCCACTGCCCAGCCCGCAGGGAGGGCCAGGGCCTGCCTGGGCTCGTGGAGCAGGGCCCAAAGCACTCCCAGGTTGGGAACAGAAGGTTCCCGCTGCGTCCCAGGGAGAATCGGCCTCTCGGCTTCTGGACCCGCGGCTTTCGGCTGCGGGCGGGAGTGCAAGCACCCCCGACTCCCAAGCGCAGAGCGTGGGTTGCAGCGGACTGCCCTCGTGACCCGCTCTCTGTGGCCGGTCGCACCAGCCAGACGCGAGGGGAGCACGCTGCTTCCCCGGCTCGGGGTCTTCTGCGTGTCTTGTATCCCAGCTCAGCCTTGCTTACCCAAGGCCCTGTTCTCCAGCAGCTGCCGCAGCCCCCCTGGGTCCTCTCGGCTGCTTCAGAAGGACGTGGCAGAGAATTACAAATGTGCCCATTACGGTGGGAATGAGACGAGACGCCGCGGCGATGAAGATTGGTTAGGCTCAGCGAGGCTCGCTGTACGTTGGCGCTGCCACCGAGCATCGTTCCGCCGCACAGGACGCCTGGAGCTGCCAGCCGGCTCTGGGTGCGTCTGCCAGCGCCCCGCTCTGGGGTTCAGCTGATGGGGTCAGAGGTTGTTCTGAGGAGCAGGGGGCACGGCCCCTTCCTGGGATCTTCTGAGTGTCTATTAACGTCCTTTGCAGCAGCAGGATGTTGGGTGCCGCGGTCCCCCTGCTTTGCCCGTGGCAGGCTTGGGGTGCTGTGTCGGGGGTGACTGCATAGCACGGCTGATGGGGTGGTTTGGACAGGGCTGATCCTGCTTCAGGCAGGGTTTGGATTTGATGTGACAGTGGAGCTCCCTTCCAGCCCTGCAGCCAGGGCATTGGGGCCAACTGGTGGAGAGTGCTAGTCTTCCTTCCCCTCCAAACCTTTGCAAGCGTTTGCAGAAAGGAGCAGGATGCAACACACAAGAAACAGCAGGTGCATGCTCTATGCAATGAGGGGAAGGAGGGGACTAGCCTTCAAACTGCTGCAAGCACGATTTTATTAGTGGAACAAATGAGGGGTACATGAGGAGCTGTTTGCATGCGTGCAATGATCTCTGCAGGCCCGGGGACCTACCTGCCGGGGATGGCATGGAAAGAGCGGGCAGCGCCACGAACGAGACAAGTCACTCTGGAAGCCCCTAGCTCTGGACGGTGGCTGCTGCGAGAGGGCCACTGGGCCGCTGGCCTGAGCCGGAGCGGGCTGCAGCACAGCTCGGAGCCGGCTCACCTTGCACCCATCTGGCGCGTCTGAAAGGAGAAGACTAGGGGCTCAGGGAAGGCCGCGGGGCTCTGGGAAATGCAGAGCTCACAGCGGGGCCAGCGGAGGTCGGCTGGCTGGCTCTGCCGCCTTCCCGCCAGGATCAACGGCAGC